CGGGCGGCCCACCAGGAAGCGGAGACTGCAATTCCAAAAGCCAGCGAGGCGGTGTATTCCGCCTCCTCCTTGGAGGGGAACACACGCTGACCATCCTGAAGGTAAGGCTGCCACTCGTCGGCTGCGTGGGTGTGGTGGCAATGGAGAGCAGGCCACTGTGCAATCTCATCAATGTTGTGGCGCAGGCGCTGAGCCTTACACCTCGCCCCCATAAAGCAGCATGCATAGTAGACGGTGTCCTGCCAAGGCCCCGTGGCCATCATCTGTTTCTCCTGGGTCAACTCCCAATAATGGAGACTACGCAACGGGTTCTCCCGAACGCTGCCCCCACCCCGGTCTGCCAAGGCCTGGAGCTCGGTCAGGACAAAGCTGCATGCCAAATTGTCCTTGGAGACGCGGAGCTGATCTGCCCTGGGCAAGTCTGGAAGGCCCTCGGGGTAGCGGTCACTCCGCAACGGGCGGGGGCCAGGTTTGCCATCACCCAGGTCCCGCGGAATCTCCCGGGCCCTAGACTTGGTGCTGCAGTCCAAAGCAGCTGCTGCAAAGACTGCATCCTGGAGCTGCTCCCGGATTGAATCCTGCCTCTGCGGGTTAGAGAGGTCATGGGACGGATCCAGCGCCCAATCCACCGGAAGGCATCGCCAACCACAGTAGAGAAACGCCTTTCCCAACGGAAGGTTGGGACCACAGAAGAGATCCACCATAAGTGGCGGCTTGTCTTCAGGAGCTTCGGCTACATCCCCAAGAGAAGGCGCTCCCAAGTCATCTCCTGGGCCCCCTCAATGCTTTGCCTTGGCCTTACACTTGGCTGCCGGGTGAGCAGGAGAGCCACAAACCCGCTCGGCGCGCAGGATCACAGAGCAGCGGTGCGCCCCATTGCCGCAGTTCTTGTTGGAGCAGGTGCCCTTGTTGAATCCTTCGCAAAGGCGCAGGCCATCCCTCATCTGCTTCGCGGTTGGCTTGCCATTGATAACCGGGCCCGGCAGGAACTTGGATTCTGATGCGGGCTTGGGGGCCGCCCCTGCTGGGTTCGGAGTGACAACAGGCGCGGCCACCGACTGATTGTCTGACACAACATGCGGGAGCCAATGGGCATCCCGACTGGCCATAAGCTCCTTGACGACTGCCCCCAACGAACGGGTGCCCTCGCGGAACTTGGTCACCCACTCGGACCGTTCGTCCGAGTCGCGCGCCTGCAGCCAGGCAAGACGCTTGTTGACCGGCATCCCTGAGACAGCCCGCTTGGCTCGGTAGAAGTACTGAAGCATGGTGTCCAGCGGGACCTCCACGTACTCGGTCGAGTCCGCCCCCAAGGTCTGCTCCTTGGTGGCGTCGGCGACACCCGGCATAGGCTGACAGCCCGCCAGAGAATAGGCAATGAGCAAGGTGTGCAACTTGTTGAGGTAGGTGTCACAGTCGGCTGTGTAAGATTCCTCGGTTTCAGCCTCCTCCGTGAAGAGGCCGTCACCTAGCCGCCGCTTCTTTTGTGAGGTGCCTAACTGGAACTGGAGCGAACGCACCTTCCACACATTAAAGAGGCAGAGCATCCGCTTTGAAAGTTCACGAGAGACTCTNNGACACAACTGCATCGCTGGGGTGCACCTCGGCTGGAAACCTAAGGCGGTAACGCCGCCAAAACGCCTGCTTGGCATCCCTCAATTCCGACTCCTCCAAGAGCGAGTCCAAGTCTGCCAGAGCCACTTTGGATCGATCCTGCTCTACCTGGGAAAAGTATACGCGCGTGGCTGTCCAGGCACGGCGCAACCTAGCGGTCTGGATGGTGGCCTCGTCCCCCAAACCAATTTTGGCAACAAAGGCACCGACTTTAG